ACAAAACAGTACAGAAGACCAATAAAACCCACATTTTAGAGCTTACAAAGACTTACAGGACTTCCAAAGAAGATAATAGTCAACAATAATGGGCATCATAGAATATCTGGTTGCCTTCCAAATGGTTGCCTATACCCTCAAACTTGATACTATTAAGCAAAACAGAATATAATAAAATCAGTCAGAACAAGATGTGGAAAACAATACAGGAGTTCAAATCAGGTTAATAGAGAAACAAAAAAGTTACTATAATCTATCGCACTATTTTTAATTTAGTTTTTAAAAGATACTAAGAAATAAATTAATTTTTAAAAAAAGGAAAGAAAAGGGGTGGAGATTGAGATAAAAAAGTACATATCAATAGAACAACATCGGTCAGAACTGAAAAATTTAAGCATCATTGTGTTTGACCACCAGATAGCCTGACATTAATAGTAATTACCATAGTGACTCTTTCCTTGAGTCTAACTTCAGATACTATAGCATCAAACTTATCAAGACAGTGTGAAACCGTTCAAGAGAATGAAATTATTTCAGGGTATTTAGAGCCAGCTAGCAGAAACTGAACATCATTTTCTATATTATCTCTTTGTCTATAAAAATTTGCTTATACTATTGCATACATTAAGATATAATAAGATACAACATGTTAGAACCAATGGAAACAAATCAACAACAACTTGATGGGGCTTCAAAACAGGATGATATTAAATCAGCGCTAGCTATTACACTCTTATTTTCTTCAAAATAGTTATTTGTAGTATCACAGACAATAAAATAAAACAACCCAGATTAAAACCATTCCAATTAATGAATGAAAACATTATATGGCTTCAAAACAGTGTGACTGGCAATCATGATTACCATGTATTTTCATGCATTCTTATCATTTCTTACACTAGGGAAACTATTCGGTATTTATACATGTGAGTTTGATTTATTTCACTTATGAGTATGGTCTCGAGATGCATCAATGTATTTATAAATGTCTCAATGTGATCATTCTTTATAGCTGACTAATACTCCATTGTATAAAAATAGCACAACTTTTTTATTCATTCCTTAGTTGATGGACAGTTAGGTTGTTTCCAAGATCTGGCTATTACAAATTGTGCTGCTATAAACATGGGTGCACATATATCACTGTGGTATGATGCTTTCAGTTCTTCTGGAATTATGCCTAGAAGTGTAATAGCTGGAATGAATGGGGGTTCCAATCCCAGCTTTCTGAGAAATCTCCAGATTGACCTCCACAATGGTTGCACCAGTCTACACAGCCTCTCCAGCATTTGTTGTTGGTGGTTTTCTTGATCTTGGCCATTCTTTCAAGAGTGAGATAAAATGTCAGTGTGGTTTTAATTTGCATTCTCTAATAACTAGTGATGCTGAATATTTTTTTCATGTATTTATTTGCCATTTGTATTTCTTCATCTGAAAATTGTTTATTCATGTCACATTGCCATTTTTGGATGGGGTCTTTGAATTTTGGGGGTCTAATTTGTTTTAATTCTTTGTATATTTTAGACAGAAGTCCTTTGTCTGAGGGGCAGTTCACTAGGATTTTTTCCCAGTTTGTGGGTTTTCTTTTCACTATGTTAGAGATTTCTTTCGATGTGCAGAAACTTTTTAATAAGATGCGATCCCAGTTATTGACTCTGGGAAGTATTTCCCGTGTGGTTTGAGTCTTGTTCATGAATTCTCTACCTACCCCTATGTCTTCAAAGTTTTTACCCAATTTGTCTTCCAATAGATTTAGTGTTACTGTTTTAATATTAAGATCTTTGATTCATTTATATTCTATTTTAGTAAATGGTAACAGGCATGGGTCTAGTTTTAGTTTTTGGCATATGGAGAGCCAGTTTTTCCAACACCATTTATTAAAGAGACTGTCATTCTTCCAGTGAACACGTTTGGCCCCTTTATCAAAGATAAGGTGGTTGACCATGTTTGTAGTTGTGGTTGTATCTTCTGATCTATTCCATTGTCTTCGGCTTTGTTTTGATTCCAGTACCATGTTGATTTTGATACAGTTGCTTTACAGTATAACTTCAAGTCAGGGATTGTGATGCCTCCTGCCTTGCCTTTGCTTCTTAGAACTGTCCTTGCTATTCTAGGTCTCTTCTCACTCCAGATGAATTTTAGAATTGATTTCTCAAGATCTATGAGGTGTGTTAATAGTATTTTTATCGGGATTGCATTGAATCTGTATAACAGTTTTGGGACAATGGCCATTTTTACAATATTTATTCTTCCTATCCATGAGCAAGGGATGTCTTTCCATTTTCTGAGATAATTTTCAATTTCATTTTTCAGTGTATTATAATTTTCCCTGTATAGGTCTTTCACTTCTTTCATGAGAGTAATTTCTAAATATTTCATTTTTTTTTTTTTGCTTGCTAGTGTGAAGGGTATGGCTTCTCTTATTTCTCTGTGATTTTGTTGTTAGTGTATAAGAATTCTATTTATTTTTGAGTATTGAATTTTTATTCAGCCACATTGCTGAATTTATTTATTATATCTAGGAGTCTTTCAATGGAGTTTTGGGGTCTTCTATGTAGAGTATCATATCATCTGCAAATAGTGATAATTTAACTTCTTCTTTTCCTATCTTTACACCTTTTATTTCTCTTTCATATCTAATTGCTCTGGCTAGCATTTCCAGTACTATATTAAATAGGAGTGGTGACAGAGGGCATCCTTCTCTTGTGCCTGATTTTGAAGTAAATGCCTTCAATTTTTGGCCATTTAGTATGATACTGGCTGTTGGTTTATCATAGATGGCCTTTATTTTGAGGTAAAGACCTTCTATTCCAATTTTCTGCAAGGTTCTTATCATAAATGAATGTTGTATTTTATCAAAAGCTTTTTCTGCATCTATAGAAATGATCTTGTGATTCTTAATTTTGACTCTATTGATATGGTGGATTACATTTATTGATTTACATATATTGAACCATCCCTGCATACCTGGGATGAAACCCACTTGGTCATGTTGCATAATCTTCTTGATGACTTGCTGCATCCTATTTGCCAATATTTTATTGAGGATCTTTGCATCTGTGTTCATTAGGAGATTGGTCTGTAGTTCTCTTTTTCAGTTGGGTCTTTCTCAGGTTTTGGAACTAGAGTAATATTTGCTTCCAGGAAGGACTTGGGAAGGATTGCTTCTCTTTCAATTTCATTGAAAGGGAATTAGCTCATTAGCTCATCTTTGTATTTCTTGTAGATTTCTGCAGTGAATCCATCTGGGCCTGGACTCTTCTTTGTAAGTAATGACTTAATTACATTTTCGATTTCATTAATAGAAATTGGGTTATTCAACAGTTTTACATCTTCTTGACCTAGCTTTGGTACTTCATATGCTTCTAGAAATCTGTCTATTTTTTCTGTGTTATCAAAACTTTGAGAGTAGAGGTTTTTGATATAGGTGTTGATGATCTTCTGTATTTCCATTGGGTCTGTAGTGATTTCACCTTTTTCATTCCTTATTGCATGAATTTGAGCTTTTTCTTCCCTTTTTAAAATAAGGTTGGCTAGGGGCTTATCAATTTTATTTATTCTTTCAAAGAACCAACTTTTTGATTCATTGTATTGTTTTCTTAGTCTCTATTGCATTGATTTGTGCTCTGATTTTTATAATTTCCTCTTTTCTTTTGGCTTTGGACTTGCCTTGCTCTTCTTTTTCTAGCTGTTTGAGGTGTAGCATCAAGTTATTTATTTGTATTTGTTCTGTTTTCCTGATGTGGGAACTCAGGGCATTAAATTTTCCTCTGAGGACGGCTTTCATTGCTTCCTACAGATTCCAGTAAGTTGTATTTGTGTTTTCATTTGTTTGTAGATATTGTTTAATTTCTTCTTTAATTTCCTCTGTGACCCTCTGATTACTCAAGAGTGTGTTATTTGGTTTCCATGTGTTTGTAGGATTTTTGCAGTATCTTTTATCATTAATTACTAATTTCATAGCGCTATGATATGATAACATGCAGGGGATGATTTCAACTCTTTTGCATTTCTTTAAGTATGTTCTGTGAGTTAATATATGGTCTATTTTAGAGAATGACCCATGTACTGCTGAGAAAAATGTGTATTCTGTTGTTGGGTGGAATACTCTGTATATGTCTATCAATTCCATTTGTTCACAGGTGTGACTCAGTTCTTTTATCTGTTTGCTGGTTTTCTGTCTTGTTGATCTGTCCTTTGGTGTCAATGGTGTGTTAAGATCTCCTGTTATAATTGTATTACTGCTAATTTGGTTTTTCATTTCTGATATTACTTGTTTTATATAACAGGGTGCTTTGGAATTTGGTGCATATATATTTAAGATAGTTATCTTTTCCTCTTGAAGTTTTCCCATAAGCAGTATGTAGTGACCTGCTTTATCTCTTCTGATCATTATTTGTTTGCAGTTCACATTGTCTGCAAACGGAATAGCTACCCCCGCTTTTTGGGGGGTTCTGTTGCATGAAGTATTGTTTTCCATCCTTTGACTTTCACTCTGTGAGTATCCTTTTGGGTTAGATGGGTTTCTTGTAGACAGCATATGGTTGGATTTTGTTTCTTGATCCATTCTGCCAGTCTATTTCTTTTAATTAGCGCATTGAGACCATTTATGTTAATAGTTATAACTGTTATATATCGGTTTATTGGTGACGTTATATTTCTGCTGTTGCATCTTTATTTTTCTGTTCTATTTAATTGTCTGCTTTGTTAAGTGTTTTTTTTAAGTGTATCTAGACTGTCTTTCAGTATTCTTCACAGGATTGGCTTGGTGATCATGAATTTCTTCAGCTGTTCTTTGTCGTGGAAGTATCTTATTTCTCCATCGATTTTGAAGGACAATTTTGCAGGGTACATCAGTCTAGGTTGGAAATCATTTTCCTTTAGGGTCTGAAATACTTCACTCTATGCTCTTCTTGCCTTTATTGTTTGTGTTGAGAAGTCTGCATTGATTCTGATAGGTTTTGCTTTATAGCTGATCTGTCTTTTCTCTCTGACAGCTTAAAAATATGGAACGCTTCATGAATTTGCATGTCATCCTTGCGCAGGGGACATACTAATCTTCTCTGTATGATTCATATGTTAGTATATGTGCTGCTGAAGCAAGCACGTATGTCGCATATTGAAAGACATTGTTTCTTGATCCATCCAGCCAGTGCTTCTTTCTATTGTTGTATTGAGGCCCTCTACACTAATGGTTAAAACTGGCATGCATTTCCTCATTCCTGCAATTCTATCTTCATACCGTTGGTCTACTGCTTTTCCCTTCCATTCAATTGTTTGCCCTGCATAGTGATCCCCCTTGATGTTGTTTCTGGAATGGTGCTTATCTTTATTGCTCTGTAGGATTTCTTTCAAAACTCTCTATAGGGTTGTCTTAGTGATCATGAAGTCCTTCTATTGTTCTTTAATGGGGAAGTATCCTATTTCTTCCTTATTTTAGAGGAAAAGCTTTCAGTTTTTGCTCATTGTGATATTGATATGGGGTTTGTAATACATGACTTTTCAGTTTAATTAAGGTTCCTGTGTATCTATTTTCATCAAGGTTTTGATAATCTGTGAATCTTGGCTTTTGTCAGTGATTCACCATGTCTGTTGAGACAATTGGGTAGTTTTTATCCTTGTTTATGTAGAGCATGATGCTTACTGCTTATGTGCATCAGATCATCTCAGAATGAAGCCTACTTAGTCACACTGTGCAATGTTTTCAGTAATTTGTTTATCAGCATCTTCTTGTAGATTTTTAAATTTATATTCATTAAATAAATTGACCTACACTTTCATTTCTGTTACATGTCTGCTTGGATTTTTTCATCGGAATGAAGTTAGCTTTTAGGAATGCATTTCATAAATTTCATGCCTTTCTGATTTTATTGAATAAATTGAAGAATATTGGTGTAAGATCTTCCCTGAAATTCTGCTAGAAGTCTGTATTGCATATATCATGTCTGGGACATTTGTTGATGGAGTTTTTATAACTGCTTCCATTTTGTTGCTTTTCTGGATCTAGATAGAGATTTTAAAATAACTCTTTGCTTCAGTTCTGCTTGAATATGGTATGGGAAGAGTGCTTTGCATGGAACTCAGCAGAATTTAGAGGCCAGGGAGAGTATGCACATTCCGGCTGCTGGCTTTTTGTCTTAGTGGCAGGTGGAATGAATTTCCATGGGTGCTTAGCTCTGTGGTGTCTGGAAACCTGGAGAGTTGGCAGAGAGCCTTCATGTGTCATGGTAGAAATGTGGCCTCTTTAGCTCTGCTTCTGTGTTTCTCTCCTACCCCAGGTTCACTGAGTAACAACTGATGTGTTCCCCTGCCTGTGGCTTATTTCCATGGCCCTATTCAGAGCCAAACATCTATTATTTTCTGTCCTAATGACTAATTTATCCTGATGTGATTGTTGCATTCTCATTGATATTTCCTGTTCCCTTACTGCTCTATTTTGAGTAGTCTTTCCCTCTGAAGACCTAAGTCCCTGGACTTCATTCTTAATGAGATGGGAGCTGTGACAGTAATACTGTGGGTGGTGAGTGCAGAGATCACAGCTACTTGCCTGACTGACTATCCATTGTCCTGTGATCTCTCATGGCATCCAGTCACTGCACATGACTATAGTTCCCAGACATTATCGTCTCTGTTCTCTTGGTGCCACCGATTACATATAGGGCATAGTTATGTCACTAAGTTTCATGCTTTTTCCCCACCTTTGCTGTAGGGGTTACACACATTCACAAACTGTGTATCCTCAACATATACTCTGCAAGAAGTATCAGGACTGAGAAATGACCCTACCTTTAGTTCTAGAATGTCTTTATGCTGGAAATAAATGGCTACATTCTCTTTTGTTTAAATTTTATGCTTGGGCCTATGTTTTTATTCATATGAGTTTCTGGGTACCTGCCTCTCTGGATAATGACATTTAAGCAGTTTATGAATACTACTAACTCTAATCCTCTATCTTTGTTGGACCTGTCTCAATAGATTTTGCAACTGCAATTTTTGATATCCTACTTATTAAGGGTTGCTATTTCTGCATTTCTAGATATGGAGAAAATTTCTGTTTATATTTATATTTTTTAGTTTAGCTTAACTCCACTGCCAGAAAAATAGTTTTTTAGGTAGAAATAATACAAAAATACAGAAAAAAAGTAAACAGTCAGAAATCACTAGTTGATGTTTACATATTGTCATTTTACAAATAGTTGTTCAAGATACAGAAATGGAACATGTAAAATGGGAATTCAAATAACGAGACTGCAAACAGTTCTGTTCAACTGTCCAACAAAAACTTAGAAACATTGTTGCCAATCCTATACACTTAAACATACATGCAGTTATCCATATTTTCATTTATGTTTAGATTAAATAAACTAAAGCAGGTTAAAATCATTCTGAATAATGTATAATAGCATTGCTGGATTTCACATCATGACACTCTGTGATCAGCACTGGGTACTGTAGTGTCGTTTTTCATATTTAATTTAAAGAAAGATTAAACAAACAGAAAACAGGTAGAAATAACACATAATTTTAAAGAAAAAATGAACAGTACAAAATCACTAGTTGATGATTACAGATTGTATTCTCACAAATAGTTATTCAAGATATTAAGTGGAGCACATAAAGTGGGTATTTGAACAGTGAGGTTGCAATCAGTTCTGTTCAACCATCCAACAAAATCTTAGAAATATGGTTATGAATCCTATACATTTAAACATACATGCTGATATCCATATCTTCAATTATGTTGAGATTGAATAAACCCATGCAGGCTAATGTCACTCTGAGCAAAGAATAATACTATTGCTGAGTTTCACATTATGACATTCCAGGATCAGCACTGGGTATTTTAGTGTCTCTTTTTCCTAAGAGTATTTGTTCATTTCATCACATATCATATGAGTTCTCATAAAATGTTTATAGATTCAACACATGCATGAGTCTTAACATGTATTTATAACCTTTCTTAATTAGAGGGAGAAACAAAGCAAGGAAAAACAAAACATTTTCCTATAAACACATGAAATGAAATAAACATCTAAGACCATTGTACAAAGAGTTCTACCATGGTTACTGTATTGTCTTTGTTATCACCAATAGAATTGGCTATATTATCAGACACAATATAATTAAATATATCAGTACATAACAGTATTAATAAAAACACAGCTTTGTATATAGTATAAAACTTCAAAAGCAGGCAGTTATCAAACCACAATGTGTATTGTAGAGTCTGTCATCTTCAGTGTAGTTACCTATACTCTCAGACTTGATACTATCAATCATAACAGGTTTGAATAAAACAGCAGTAAAACAAACCAGATTTCACTAAGATCAGTCATGATAAAACATTATAAATCATACAGGTCTCCATATTAAGATAATATGAAATTAAAGATGATTACTGTGCTCTATTCTGAGGTTTTTGGGAGAGCTCTCTGTGTGCTCAAATCTAATGCAAGTAGACAAACTAGGACAGAATAAAATCTATCAAAAAATAATAAAATCTATCTAGGCAGAGTGAGGTAAGTAATGTGGGTTTTAATCCTGATACACTATTAACAATATCTTCTGCCATCTTTTTAAAGACTCTACCTCCCTTTCATATCCCCAGGGTACACTGTACATTTTTGGGTCTGACCAAGACCCTTGGTTTTAAATTGGGGAAGGGCAGCCTGCTATTTAGATAAGTGCTTCTGAACCTTCTCTCTCCTGGACTTGATCTCTAATTGTATTCCTTTACCTATTAAAGCCTGTGTTTCCAACTTATCCACAAATCGTAGTATAGTTTCCCCTGTTACTCCCTGGTTCTCTGTTACATAGAGCATTGTTTTCTCATATTTGATTTTCAGTTCATGTACTCTTTTCAATATTAATTATATTTCCTATTAATAGCATTTTGTTGGACCCTACCTCCTGATCTATTCCACATGTGGTTCTTTTTCTTTAATTTAGTATATCAAGGGCATCTATTTTAGAGATTATAACCAAACTTCTCAGCCTCATTTCTGTTATGCTCTTTTTTGCCATCGGTTGTCTGCTTATCTTCTTCATTCTGTTTTCTCCTCCATTCATTTAGGCCTCTCTGACACTGTTTCTGGAATCATAGTACTTTTATCTCTCTCTAGAATGCCCTGCAGTGTTCTCTGTAAAGTTGCATTAGTGGTTGTGAATTTCTCAAGTTCCTCTTTGTCTTGGAAGCATCTTGTTTCTCCATTAATTTCTAGATACAGTTTAGCAAGGTATGTCAATCTGGGTTTGAGGTTATTTTCTTTCAGGGTTTGGAATATTTCTCTCTAAGCTCTTCTTGACTTGATGGTTCATGTTGAGAAGTCTGCTGTTATTCTGATGGGCCTTCCTTTATAGGTGATCTTTTTCTTGTCTCTAACAGCTTTTAATATTCTGTTCTTTTATTGAATTTCTGGGATCTTGATTATTATATGCCTTGGTGTTTCTGTTTTGGTTGTAGGTGGTTGGAGTTCTGTATGCCTCATATATTGGAATATGATTTACTTTTCCTATTTTTGGGAAGCTTTCCTAAATTGTTTCTGTGAATAGCCTTTGTAGTTCCTTTGTTTGTTCCCCTGCTTCTTCATTCACATTCTTTATTCACAAGTTATAGATCCTCTTACTGTCTACTATCCTTTGTTTTGTTACTGCTTGTTTCCTTGTTATTTTTAAAATGCTTTTCCTTTCATAATCCCACATTGCAAAATGGTCCTCCAGTTTGGGTAATCTATCCTTAGTTTCTTTCAATCAGATTTGCCATATTTAGACTGAGTTTTTAATTTCCTGGTAATCTCTTTGAATGTGCTTCATGTATTCTATATTTTCTTTATATTCTTCAACAAATGGTTCCTTCCTTTGTGTGAGTTACTCCCTTCTTCCTTCTGTGTCTTCTTGAGGGGTACTTAGCATCCCTTTTATTAATCTTCTTATATCTTGCTTTATTTGGCTAAATATTTTCCTTTTGAACTTGTCTATGAAGTCCCAAAGAAGTCTCTTTATGTTCCCTGGTGCCATGTCTGATATTGCTTGTTTGCTGCTCTTATTCTTCATTGTATTTACCTGGCATGGGTCAATGTTCTCAGGGTTGGGAACTTGGGACTTTTT